TCCCCAAGTCAGCTTCTGCTGAAACTGACCAGCGCTGACTACAGGAAGCCCGAGGCAGAGTTGCTCTGCCCCGGGCTTCCTGGAATCAGCTGCTGATCAGTTTCAGCAGCAGCTGACTTGGGGACGCCTGGGGTTCTTAAGTTGATTCTGTATGTAAGTCAGAACTGGCGGTCAGTTTCAGCAGTGTCTGAATCTGGACGCCAGTTCCGACTTACATACAGATTCAACTTAAGAGCAAACCTACAGTCCCTATCTTGTACGTAACCCGGGGACTGCCTGTATTTAAATAAATTAGATGTGTTTCAGCAGCAGCTGACTTGGGGACGCCTGGGGTTCTTAAGTTGATTCTGTATGTAAGTCAGAACTGGCGGTCAGTTTCAGCAGTGTCTGAATCTGGACGCCAGTTCCGACTTACATACAGATTCAACTTAAGAGCAAACCTACAGTCCCTATCTTGTACGTAACCCGGGGACTGCCTGTATTTAAATAAATTAGATGTTTTGTATTTCACTTTTTAATTCCTTCCCATTCATAGATAACTTAGGGTCCATCTGCAAACATTTGCCAGTATGGAACACTTTACTCGTGTGTATCTGTCTCTCACTCTCACTCTAGCTCTAGCTCTTTCTTTGTTTCTGAAGAGAGAAGAGAAACTGGAAATATAATAGAACCTTGCAAAACTCTAGTAATCTGTCACCTGCCACTTTCAATGTTCCCCACCCCGTTCCAACTGTCTTGCATTATATGTAGCACTACTAAACCCATGAGTACTTTCTGGAGATTTCTAGTGTGCTCACTGCCAGGATGGCAGTGAGGGATCAAAGACCTTTTAAAACTTCTTTGCAGTTTCAACACCACGCTTCATTCTCCCAGCTGACATTCATGTCTTAGGGAGGGATATAGTACTGTGATCTCTCTGAGTGACTCTTAAGGGCCGATCAAAGGAAAATGGAGTTAAATGGGACTATCCTTTGTGAGGCGTTATTAACTGAATTATCTGGTTTTCAGGGGTTTTAGTTTCTGGCTTTTAACTTCCATGTTCTGGAAGAACATAAGGAGAAGGGGTACTCCTATACAATTTTCTCACTCTCTAATAAAGTTTGGTTGTTCAAAGAACCAGAAAGAAGAGTAGAATAGAAGGTAAAAATCTTTTAGGGAAAGTTGTTTTCCTCTAAGTGTATGTCTAGACTACATGGCCCCGTCGACGGAGCTATGTAGATGAGTTTACTAGACATAGGAAAATGAAGCGGCGATTTAAATAATTGCCGCTTCATTTACATTAAAATGGCCGCCACGCTGTACCGATCAGCTGTTTGGTGGCACAGCGGGGCAGTCTGGACTTCCCTTGTCGACCGCGGTGCATCCAGACTGCCCTGCTGTGCCGCCAAACAGCTGATCGGTACAGCTTGGCGGCCATTTTAATGTAAATGAAGCGGCAATTATTTAAATCGCCGCTTCATTTTCCTATGTCTAGTAAACTCATCTAAATGGCTCTGTTGTCTAGACATACCCTAAGTGTGTGGGCAGATTTGCAAGTTTGCAGTATGAAACTTAATGGCTAAATACTGTGAAGTTTTTTTTTCTTTAACCAGTATCAGTAATACTGGTTAAAAGAAATGTAAGGGGATTTCACATGTAGTTCTCATGCCCTTAACATTTGTTGTGTTATATTTTAATAATGTTAGGCCATTTAAGCAATTACATATATTTTTCCACTGTCTTTTTATAAGCATTTTCATCTTTCAATAATTATTCAAAATATTTGAAAATATCCCTTATAGCTTTCTCAATTTAAGTAAGGGTATGATGCCACACTTACGATACTAATTTGCTTAGCAACAATGAGATTTAATAAACATCACATTGTGATTTCATCATGTGAGTTCAAAATAAAGTAGAAGTTAGGTTGTGATGGACAGTTATTCAGAACAAACAGAGCTAATCTGTAATCACACTAAAGAAGACACATTTTCTTTCTCAAGAATTTTCTATCTTGTGTGTGGTTTTTGAGGATTTTTTAAAAGTTTTGTACTAGATTGAGACTTCCTCCTTAGTTTTCCATATATTTTGAGACTGAAAGTGCTTTCAAAGTTCAAACTTTATTCTTAACAATGTAATTTAAAGCATTTTATATGCTAAAGTAGTATTTGTGATTTTTTTTTTTTTTTTTTTTTTTTTTTTTTTTTTTTTTGTGGCTGCTGTAAGTTATTACAAGCTGTTCATGATTGAATTGAAAATGTAATCTGTTGTAGACAAGGAGCCTAATATAGTGTGACTATGTAACCCACCCACCTACTGGCTGTGTGGTTCATGGTCCTATGTAGTGGCACTTAGACCACTTACAGAGAGAGAGAATAAGTGTGCTCTACTGCCTTAGCTGAACACCAGATGGCTTTTAGCTCAAGCTGTAGAGGCTTATTCACTAAGCTCCAGAGCTCCCAGCTTTGGTTCTGCCTGCCGGCATTACAACTACAGTCACATATATGGTCACATAATTGTCGTCTTTCTCAAGTTGTTAGGATCAGTTTATCAACTATATACATTCAGAGCAATAGAGGTGAGCAAGCTGTGCAGAAACTCAACGGAACAAAGATAATAGGAGGTGGGGACAGGAAGACCATGAGAGTGGCTTTCTGGAGAATCTGGCTATTTTGTAAAGTAGAATACCTTTAGGCTCCATTCCCAGCTGTGAACTTTCTAAGGTTTTCAGGAAAGGAACACTTCTAGAGAACATACAGGGGAACTACATACCTGAGTTTGGCTGGTCTAAGAACTTGAAAGTAGAGGAACCATGCATCTCCCAAGGAACTGAAGGTTATGCAGAAATGGGAATGATGCAGTTGCTTAATGAGCTGGCTCTGCTTTACATGGCATGTGCTCCTCCAGAACAGAGCCCCTACTCCACAAGGTTGATACCTTCCTAGTCAACTTTGCTTTTACATATTTTAATTTAAGTGACTGACAGGTTTGTTTGAACATTTACTCTCCTAGATGCCTCTAGATCTATCTCCTCTTGCAACACCAATCATAAGAAATAAAACTGAAGAACCTTCAGTTGTGGAGACAACTCATCAGGATAGTCCTTTACCTCATCCAGAGTCCACTACCAGTGATGAAAAGGTCAGGAACATACTTTTCTGGATTAAAAACATTTTATAAAGAACATTCACAGCAATGTATTTAATTTTGTATATTTTTACTGGAACTACTTGTATGACCTAATTGCTGATTGTACAGTGATGGTAGTCATATTGTAAAAGATTCAAAACCTTCACCCTGTTAGTTAAGTTTTGCTTAGAATAAGCATCCTTTGTTCTTCCTATGGTTCTCCAGCAAATTTAGGAAAGGACAGATTTTTCCTGACAATACTATTTGCTTTGGTCCTGTCTACATGAGTTTGGCTGTTTGAGTTTTCCATTCCATCCTGTCTTGAAGCAGTTCCTTGGAAATGCAGCACAGTTAATTATGTCCTTTCATATAACACCTACTCATCTAGTTTCAGGTCTTCGAGCCCTTTTCTTACCTTCCACTTCTCAGCTTTAATATCATGTTTCCTGTGTATTCTTCCAGCTTCAGGTGTATGAAAATAACCATGTAAGTTTGGATTCTCTCAGCTCTTCTGCAATTGGTACTAACTTCACACACTCCAAATTGTACATTTCAAACATGGTCCATCCTTGTATCTTCATCTTAACACTAATTTCCATTGTATTCAACAACCATCCCAAACTCTTCTTCAGGTCTAGCACTCCAAGCCATACAAAAGTGCCATTTAAATACTGTCTTGTAAATCACTCACTTTTCTGCATTTAATCCATGCCTTTCCTGTTCTGTTCCTAAGAGAAACAACTTTTTTTTAATTAAGGGTACCTTTATACATCATAAATATGGCTGTGGATTTGTCTCAGCTTTTTTTTATTTAAAAAAAAAAGATGATGCAGCTTTGGTAAATTTAGTAAAAGTCACAGGTTTAAGGATTGCTCTGTGACATTTGAGAAATGCCTTGACAAATAAAGAGGGCACAGACCATCTTCCTCAGCATCCTCTGTCTGAGCACCACAGTTCTAATCCATACCTACATAATGGGATTGTGGCTATACAAATGAACACATAGTTTACTTTTTTACTTTTGCCAAGGTATCTCATAAATTCACAAAATGTTTTTTTTTCCTTGCTATTAACCTAGTATTTTTACTGCCTTCTCAGGCTTGGTTCTGTTTTTCAGGCCTCCCCCACTCCCACTCCTCAAAAGGGGGAAATGAGTGTGTTTCTTTGCTGGCTATTATACTTCTGGTTTTAAAGGGGCCGAGTGGGAAGGAGGGAGAAGGAATATCCTTCATGATTCAGTGAATCAAGGATAAGAGTATGACCTGAGCCACTAGATCTTGCAGCTAAATGAGCAAAGCAGATGAAGCAGTTATCTTGGGCAAAGAAGACTTATAGGAGGAATTTGCTGCCATCTGGTGTTTGTCAAATACTCAGGATCACAGCTTCCCTTTTGCTGCATTGATGAGCTCTTGGTGGCATCCCCATTCTCCTCCTGCATAGATCCTAAACTTCATAGGAGCAAAGTTGCCCTTTAGGAAATCTACCCTGCAGATTTCTTTCACTGTAGTCCTCCCTTAGTTTCCCACAATGAAATGCTTCATCCCTTTGTTCAAAGGCTGGGAGAACTGATGAGCCATGCAACAAATGCAGGTTGTGTTTGGATCTTAGGGTACGTCTACACTAGCCCCCTAGTTCGAACTAGGGAGGCTAATGAGGGCGACCAAAATTGCAAATGAAGCGCGGGATTTAAATATCATTCCTCATGGAATGAGGCTTAACACCTAATTTGAGTTAACGGGTTTACTTCAAACTCCCGTTTCACTGCCACATGTAGACGCGGGCAGTTATTCTGGGCTAGTCAGTTTCCAAAATGGCGACCGCCTGGGCACATGCTAATGAAGTGCGGGATATTTAAATCTCGTGCTTCATTTGCAATTTCAGTCGCCCTCATTAGCCTCCCTAGTTCGAACTAGGGGGCTAGTGTAGACATACCCTTAGACAATGAGCAAGTTTTAAAGCTGAAGATCTCTTTATTGAAAAAGCTCTGCAGCCAATCCATTCCTATTTAAACAGAAATGCACCTAGCTTGACCACTTTCGAACTCAAAATGCATCATGGAATGAGAAGTAATCTTTAGGGTAGCCAGGTCCCTAACTATTCAGTGCATTATAAATTCAAATCTACAACATAACCTTCATTCAGAAATCAAATGGAAGCCAGTGCAGCCTTAGGGCACTGGTCTAATATGTTCCATAAATGAAATATCATTTAATAAAGTAGGGAGTGGAAAACTGTACTAACTGAAGTTGTTTTCATAGTTTTAAAATCTAGTCCTGAGTATAGCAGCAGTCAAATTTGACAAAGGCATAGATAACTGGAAAGGCCTGCATCCAAAAGGAAAGACAAAAGCCAAATCCAGGTAAAGCCCTTTTCTGCTGCTGTCTGTCTGTACCTCCCAAGAGCAATTGAGGATCTAACATAAGAAACAAAGAGTGGGCATGCTTCCTTGGTTGGTGAGGAGGATAATCTCTTCTTTCACCCCACAAATATCATTATGTGATCTTGATTTGAGTTTTGACTAACTAGTTCTCATCTTAGTTCCATTCTTGTTTGTCTGGAAGTGGACGACAAGAGAGAGATCACGTGAAGATTACCTGTTGTGTTCACTCCCTCTGGGGCATCTGGCATTGGCCACTGTTGACAGACAGGATACTGGGCTAGATGGATCTTTGGTCTGACCCAGTATGGCTGTTCTTATGTTCCCGGTTTGGATAAACTGCTTCACTACTGTGTCTAGAGAATGCATTTATTATGTGTGTTCATTTTATGGAGTATTTATAATATATTTCAATACAATTAAAGCTTATTGAATTTTATTATAGTAAACATTACCATGTAATTTCCAATTTGCTGCTTAGTGTAGTGCTGGCTCGTTAGGTTGTTTGCCATGTACAGCAGGTATAATGTAAAACAGTGGTTTTCAAACTACAGGTTGCAACCCAGGACTGGGTTGTGGAATGTCAGGCACTGCGTCTTGTTGCTATAGCGTGATCAGGTAACCAGTGTGGGTGCTAAAACCGGTTACCTGCCTGTTCTGGGCTGCAACCCAGAAGCAGCCGGCAGCAGGCCCAGCTCCAAGGTGGGGGTGGGGTA